CTTCTGCAATACCCCGGGCTATCTCATTCTGCCCAGCCAGCTTCTCCCAGTTGTAAGGCAGAACGCTCGGGTCTTGCCTTTTTGGAATCGGAGCCGTTGCATTCTCGCAGTCCGCGTGACCCGGAGGGGAGTTTCGGTAGATTAAGAGCTTTTGGGGCCACCGGTTACGGAGGTAGGTCATAACTGTGCGCATCTCGGGCTCGAACACCTCGTTCGTCGTATAGTGCGCCCCGCGATTAATGATAATTATATCGGAGTTCGCGACTTCCGGCATGCGCGTCCACTGTAGCTCGCTGAAGTGCCTCGGGGCCCCCAGCCACAGATGGTCGCTTCGGATGAATAAAATCTTGAGGCCCGGGCAGACCTCATCGGAAAACTCAATGGTTCGGCAGTACTCGTGCCGAATCTCCGTGTTGTTGACCCAGTCAACGCAGAATTTTGGCTTTGACTCATGGACCGCCCAATCAGCCGGCTTCAGCACGTCCCTCAGCATCTGGTTGATAAATATCCCAAAAAACTGCTCGTTAAGAGAATCCCCGAGAAACAGAATTGTCCGGTTCTTCCCAACCCGGTTGCAGAAATCTTGAGGCTGGAAAGGCACCCAGGCTTGGTCTTGCACCGGCATGGGACAGCTGCCCTTCACTCTCCACTCGTACTTGAGAGTTTCTCGCACTGTCCACCCCTCCGGCGCACCCCCGGACCTCGCATACTCGTCGGCTTCTTTCTTCATGAGCCCCTGGGTGGCGTCCCAGTGTCTGTGGTCACACAGGTTGATGTTTCCAGGATAATCCCAAGGGAGGACGCGAGGAGTGGCGTTGTAATCCCACCGACCCTGCTTGCCTATGCACGCCATCCAATCCTTGAACGCCCGAACCTCCTCCCCAGACCTCAGCTTCGTCCCAAGCAGCTTCTGCTTCAGCCCGAACCTGCCGCCTGCCGGACCTGCGATGGAGCGCACTGTAGCTCTGGTTACCACCTCGCTACTGTACACGTCGTGCGATACCCTATCGATGACGTCCTGCACATGCCACATGTCGCAAGATAAGCGGCTGCGCAGCGGCGCATTCCCATTGGCCGATTTCGGGTCGGGCTGGGCGGCGCAGAGCAGCTGATAATGACGAAGGCCGCAAGCCTCTGAGAGCTGTCTGGTGGGGAGATCCGGGTCTGCTGCTACAGCCGCTACAGATGCCGTTTTCTGGGCAATATTGGGGCCGAGTACGGCTCGGAGCTCGAGGACAGTGGCGTTGGGTGGCATGAACATGACGTGGGCGAGAGCCGAGGTGGATGTGGCTACGAAGAGAGCTGCTCTGTTGAACAAGTCCTTGGCTGCACGGACGGAAGAAACAGAAGGGTGGATAGGGAGGGAAGGGAGGGGTGGGGGAAAGGAGGGGGACGGACAGTTGCTTTGGGTGGCATGAAGATGAGGTGGGCGAGAGAGGAGGTGGATGTGGCTATGAAGAGAACTGCCCACGGAACTGGGAGATGTTCCCCCTCATGCAAATATCAATATTAAAGCGATTTTTGAGAATTCTCAAAATGTAGGCGATTTGTTAGAATTCTCAAAATGTGGAAGTCTGCCTCAACAAAGCCTGACGCCTCATTGTTTGTTATGACTTGCGCCCTGTTTTTTTTCTTGCTACATAGTTTCTAGTCTTCTTTCTAAGTTACCAGTCTTCTCTGTTAAAAGCCCATGAATTAGCGCACTCAGGTTACCCTGGGTGAGGACAGGATGGATGTGTGTGGATGGGGGGTGAGGAAGGGGGGAAACGGGGGGAGGGGGGGGAGGGGAGGCGAAGGGGTGGGGAGGGGGAGGGGGGAAGGGGGGGGGGAGAAGAGGGGGAGGGGAGAATACTGTCATAAATCGCTCACCTTCCAGAACATTGAGGTTGTTCTTAAAGAGTACAATCCGATCCTCAGGAAAAAAGAACTTCAGCGCGTCCCTGATCTCCCCTGCCTCATCCACCCTCCCTGCCACGTCAGCAGCCACCACCACCACCCAATCCTCCGGCACACCTGCCGCCAATCCCGCTGCTGACTCAGCATCTGCTGACTCGGAACCCGTGTCTCGGAAAACTTGGGGGGAGCCTCTAGGAAGGAGGTGGTTGGAGCGGAATTGGGTCCATAGGGCCATGCTGGGTTGCCGGCACTGCTGCCGAACGGGTTGGTACAGCTTCTGGACATACCAAAGGTGGGGTAACCCTGGCTTTACCCCCTGTACTTCGTGGTCTGTAACGGGTAATTTGAGAACTCTATTGGCCACTGCTGATAGGAGCTGAGAAGGGGTAAGGGGGGGAGAAGAGTGAGGAAAAGGAGGGGGGGGGGGGGGAGGGGGAGGGGAAGGAAGGAGGGGGTGGGGATTGGTGAGTGAGAGAGCAACGGACAGTACTTTCTTTTATTACTGAGGTCAGTGCATGGTTTGTTGCTGCTGTGCTGCGGCGGTGATAGTGGTGGTGGTGATGGTGGCGGTAGTGGTGGTGGTGGTGCCTCCCCTCTTCCCCTCCCCCCTCCCCTCTTCCCCTTCCCCCTCCCCTCTTCCCCCTCCCCTCCCCCCCCCCCACTTTTCTCCCCCCGCGTACCTTTCTGCTCCTGGCCACTATGACGGCGTCCTTAAGCTTCGGCAGGACCTCCTTCAGCGGCAGCATCATGGGGAGAAGGTCCGTGAGCTCGTGGAACACCTCAGCACGCGGATCCGCCACGTCAGACAGCAGGTTCACCACGTCACGGTGCATGGTGACGTGTGTCCCTGCGGGGTACGACACCTGCTCAGTGGAGAGGAGGGAAGAAGGGGGGTGTTGCCCGTTGGGGGAAAAAGGGGGGGGAATGGGGGGAAGAACGAATTATTCTTAATATCCTGTAGCGAAAGAAAGGGAATGATGGAGGGGTCGAGGAGGGAAGGATTCACGCGGGGCAGGTAAAGGAGGAAGGGGGGGAGTAGGAGGGGGGAAGGGGGAAGTAGGAGGGGGGAAGGGGGGAAGTAGGAGGGGGGAAGGGGGGAAGTAGGAGGGGGGAAGGAGGGAGTAGGAGGGGGGAAGGGGGGAGTAGGAGGGGGGAAGGGGGAAGTAGGAGGGGGGAAGGGGGGAAGTAGGAGGGGGGAAGGGGGGGAGTTGGTGCGATGGAGAGGAGAGTGAGTGGGATGGGATGGGATACTCCACCAAAGTTTGCTTCAGCGGTGCAACCCGACGGGTCGAAGAGGTAAGTCTCATTGAGAATCTGACCGCGCCGGTTCACGTAGACGTGTTATATCCCTGCGACGATAAGTCAACTCCTAAAAGGACTCGAACCTACGTTTGCTTCGGTAACGCAACCCGACGGGTCGAACAAGTGAGTCTCATTGAGAACCTGACCGCGCCGGTTCACATATACGTGAAATATCCCTGCGATGATTAGACAATTCCGAAAATGACCCGAACTTACGTTTGCTTCGGTAACGCAACCCGACGGGTCGAAGAAGAGATTCTCATTGAGCATCGGACCGCGCCAATTCACGTAGTCGTGTTATATCCCTGCGATGACTAGTCAACTCATAAACTGATTCTTACTTACGTTTGCTTCAGTGACGCAGCCCGACGGGTCGAACAGGTGAGTCTCGTTAAACACCTGGCCGCGCCAGTTCACATAGACGTTCTCCAGCACAAAAACCTGCCCGGCCCATTTCTTCTCCCAGTCTTTAATCACCCTCCGCGTCTCCGTATCCGCCGGCTCCCCTGCCGCGGGACACCCGGGCCGCAGGAGGTCACCTGGCGATTCGCCTGAATTCTCCAAGCATAAGTCCAGGGGGTTTCCCCTCCCGCGTTTCTGCAGCAGGTGCAGCTGCCGCCGCTGATCCGCGACGGTTCCGGGCCCGCGGAACGGATCGACGTATTGCGGGTTCCAGCAGGCTTTAAGCGACGGGAATCTGACTCCGCAGCCCTTAAACTCCGGGCATTGGCCTCCGTGGCATTTCGCGGAGATCGCGCCTTCGTCCTCGGGCTGAGGCGTTTGAAATTCGTGGAAATAGTCGAGGGGAACGCGCGTTAAGGAGGTAAGATGGAGTGGTTGATCGAGCTGGCGGGAGGAGGTCACGGTATAGGCCTTGAGCGATCGCCGCCGGGGAATAGTGTTTTCCGCAGGGGTGACTTTTCTGAAGGAGTGGCGGATTGTGGAGAATAGAGACTCCGCGAGGCTGTTACGTGGCGCGGCTTCGCCAATTAGGGGTTGACACGTGGCGAAGACGAGGAGCAGCAGGAGAAGAGCAGGGACGGACCACCCATGGGAGGAGAGCCCCATGGTTCAACAAGGGTTCGCTCGCAACTCGGATTCAAGCAGGTTGCACGAAAGAGAGAGACTAGAGGCCAGCAGCCGATCGATTCTGGAGGCAGTAGCTGCTGAAAGTATAAGGACTAGAAATTGACACTAAGAGGCAGGAGCTCCGAAGGGTGTTTTCGAGAATTCTTAAAAAACACAGAGCAGTACAAGAGGTAGGAGTGGCTGAAAGTGAGAGGAGCACTGGAAATTGGAACTCAGAGGCAGGAGCTCCGCGCTCTTCCCGGCTTGAAATGCTAGAGCGGATGGGCCTGGTACTACGTAAATGTCGAGCTCAAGCTGGCCTTGGGTAAATAAACACGAGGGGAATGGCATGATGGTGGGAGCCCGGTTGGTTGGTGGTGGTGAGGTGAGTGTGGGCTGGGCTTGCCATGTGTGTAGGAGGCTGGTGGCGGTATTACTTGTGGGACAATCCCTAGGGGAAACACTTCAAGGTTCGGTAGGGCTTGCGTTGGGTCAAGTGCGTTTTGGTGGGGTGCGTGGAATGGGAGATAGAGAGGGGAGGCGGTTGGGGGGAGAAGGTTGGGGATGGCGGGGCTAGCTCGAGGTGAGGCGAGGAAAGAGGAAGTGCGGAAGCGGGGGGGAACCAATTGGGGAGCCAGCTCGCGCACTCAGAGATGGAGGAGGTGAGAACTTTATAGTAATTGGGGGGAATGGTGCGGGCGGGGAGGCCCAGTGCGCGCGAGAGTTTGCGTCACCGGAAGGTGCATTTCGGCTGGAGCGGATTAGTCCACCTGTGTCGGGGCGCGCATCGGGAACAGCTGGCGGACCCTGCGGCCTGAGGGGAAACCTGAGGGCTGGTTGGGTGGTTTCGGTTGGGGGGTGCTCAGGTGGAAGTTACCACGTGCACTGTTATGATTTAGAAGATGTCAATGTACTATAATGAGAATACAACGTCCCTATTGCCATGAAAGCACAAGGTTATATAGGAGTGGACGTAATAGGGCGATAACCTCGGGACGTGGATAGGTTCGGCAAATGTGGCGATGCTGTCGGGCGCGACTCGAGAAAGGGTTGGGCCGAAAATGTAGGCCGAACGTGATGAGTCGAAGTGTTCGGGTGTACGCGGTAGCAGGCGACTCAGTAAGGAATGGAAATTCCTTACACTACCCCCCCTTCTTAAACAAGGCCGTGGGCATCGGGGACATTCCGACGCTGGTAATATGCCGTTAGAATCGGATGTGATTCTAGATCAGCGAGGGGCACCCAACTGTCCTCTTCGGACGTGCGATCGCGCCAGCGGATGAGGAAATCAACCATCCGACGGTTCAGCTGCGTGGTGATGCAATGGCCAAGAATTTTCAAGGGCTCGGTCGTCGGTTCCTGCAAAGGCGTCAGTTGTGGTACACTACGGTTGCGTGCCAAGTCCGACGAACTCGGGACGTAGGGTCGGAGGAGACTGACGTGGAAAGCCGGGTGATGGCGCCAATCAGCCGGGAGCCGAAGGTGGACAGTGACAGGTGTCACGAGGTTGGTCACTTGGAAAGGTCCGCAGAATCTGGGTCGGAGTTTGCTTGGGATCGGCAGCCGCAAATTGCGAGTGTCGAGAAGGACAAGATCTCCCACTTTGTAATTGACGTCGCGTCGATGTCGATCGGCTTGTCGGCTGGCGACCAGGTTAGCTTTCCGAATGGCCTCAGCTGCTTTGTCGCGAGTGGCGAGAATCTCTTCAGCAAATTTCTGGGACCGGGGCATTGGTGACTCGATGTTCGGTGTAGAGGGTACGACCGGGTCCTGTCCGTAGTTGAGAAAAAATGGGGATTGATTGGTTGTGGCTGAGGTCGCGTTATTATACGCGAATTCGAGTAGCAGAAGGGATTTTTCCCATGTCGATGGGTCAGTACAGGTGGTGCGAATTAGCTGCTCCATGGTTTGGTTAACGCGTTCGGTCTGCCCGTCGGTTTGTGGGTGGTAGGCAGATGAGAATTGGAGTTTGGTGCCGAATTGGTCCCACAGGTGGCGCCAGAAATTCGAGGTGAATTTTGGGTCTCGGTCTGATATGATGGCGGAGGGCAGTCCGTGCAGGCGGATGACGTTCGTGATGAACAGCTGCGCAGTTTGTTCGGCGGTGATTGTCTGTTGGCAGGCGATGAAGTGCGCCATTTTTGTGAGTCGGTCAACGACCACGAGGATGGCGTCGTTTCCGCTGGGGCCGGCCGGCAGTCCTGTCACGTAGTCCATCGTGACGTGTTGCCAGGGTCGCTCGGGTGGATCCAACGGCTGTAGTAGTCCGGCTGCTCGCTGATGCGACGATTTCATGATCTGGCAGGCAGTGCAGGAGGACACGTACTTGCGCACGTCATCGGCCATGTTCGGCCAATAGTAATTTCGCTACAACATCTTCGTGGTTTTATCGACGCCGAAGTGTCCTGAGGTAGGGTTGTCATGGGATTCCTGGATTAGGAGGGTATGAAGTAAATCGTAGCCTGGCACCCAAATGCGAGAAGTGCCACGCTTATAAAAATATGGCCCGGTGGCTGTGGTATGCTGTTGATGGATGGCTGAGCGGAAAAATGGATCGATCTTGTAGCCGTGAGTGAATAGTCTCGTAAGTAATGGGTTGGTCTGGGCGATAAGTATCGCGGCGGTATGGACAGTAGGGCGGGTCAAGGCATCGGCGATATTATTGGCACCCCGTTTGTAGGTGATGGTGTAGTGGAAGTTGGACTCAAGGAAATCGAGCCATCGGATATGTCGTGGATTGAGGTTCGGTTGGGCGCGCAGGTACTGTAAGGATTTGTGGTCCGTCCGCACCGTGACGTCAGCTCCGGTCAGGTAGCACCGCCAGGTCTTGAACGCGTGGACGATCGCCAGCATTTCCTTGTCGTGGACTGTATAGTTTTTTTCCGCGCCCTGCAGCTTCCGTGATTCGTAGGCGACTGGTTGTAACCCGTCGCCGAAGTCCTGGAGGAGAACTGCACCAATGGCGATGTCGCTGGCGTCGGTGACGACTTCGTATGGACGGTTGGGATCGGAGATGCGAAGGACGGGCGGCGACGTGAGGGCGATTTTGAGTTGATCGAATGCAGCTTGCTGCTTCTCACCCCACCAAAAACAATCGTGATCCTTCAATCGGTCGGTTAGCGGTGCAGATAACCCTGCCATATTGGGGATAAAGCGGCGGACGTAGTTGACAAAACCCAGAAAACTTTGGAGTTCCTTGAGGTTGGTCGGCGGCTTCCATTCCTGTATGGTCTTGATTTTCCTGGGGTCGATTTTCACGCCTTCGGTAGAGACGACGTGGCCCAAAAACTCCAACTCTTGCTTAAGAAAATCGCACTTAGACCCTTTCGTGATGAGTCGATTCTTGTGCAGCAGCGTGAAGACTGCATCAAGATCCTTTAAGTGCTGCTCCCTGCTGCGGCTGTAGATGAGGATGTCGTCAAGGTAGATAATTACGCATTTATCCAGGAGTTCGCGGAAAACACCGTTCATGGTCATCTGAAAAGTCGAGGGCGCGTTCGTGAGCCCAAAAGGCATCACCAAGTATTCGTAACTGCCGTAGCGGGTTCGGAAGGCGGTCTTGTGGCAATCCTCGGCGGCGACGCGAATTTGGTGGTAACCTCCGCGCAGATCGATTTTCGAGAAGAACTTGGCTCCGCGAAGTTGGTCGAGTAGGTCGTCGGTTTGCGGGATCGGGTAACGGGACTTGATGGTGATGCGGTTCAGTGCGCGGTAGTCGATGCACATACGGAATCCGCCATCTTTTTTCGGTGTGAACAGTATGGGGGCGGCGTATGGGGATGTGCTTGGGCGGATAAAACCTTTCGTCAGGAGGTAATCCAACTGCTGCTGCAATTCCTCGAGTTCCGGTTGGCTGAGCCGAAATTGTCGCTGTACTGTCGGTTGTGCGCCTGGTTCCAGCTCGATGCGATGGTCTTCGGGTCGGCTTGGCGGAAGTCCGGCGGGTAGGTCGTCCGGGAAAATTTCGGGGTATTTTCGAATGAGTTCCGCTAAATCCGGAGGAACGGCTTCACACAGCTTCGTGATATCTTCCGCTGTTATCGGCGATGTCACTTCGCGAAGATCGACGGCGTATGCTGCTGCTCCCGCTTTTATCGCGCGCTTGAAGGTGATCGCGTGGACTTGGGTACTTCGCATGCGGGGTCCCGTCCATTTCGGTAATTCGTGATAGTGCCCATCGATCTTGATGCTGCAGCTGCCCGTCGTCCAGTCGATTCTTGGGTTGTACTGTCGCAGCCAATCCCGTCCAAGCAGTACGTCGCACCCGTCGAGTGTAGTCGCCAGCAGCCCCATCCGAAATTTTACGTGCTCGCCGCAGTGGAAACTGACGTGCTCCACCCGCTCCCGTATAGCCAACGGTGTACCGTCCACCAATCTTGCGTCGATTTCGGGTAGACACTTTAATAAAGGGATACCCATTTTCTTAGCCCTGTTTAGCTGTATGAGACTGTGACTCGCGCCTCCATCTACGAATATTTTCAGCAACACCCCGTTGACTTTACCCTCCACCAACACAGGGTGATCAGCAGTTTCGTCCCCCTTATTCGCCCGGGTCCGGTCGATTGCAGCAATCGGGATCACGACCCGGTGGGGACTATGTGGTTCGGGCGAAGAAGCCTGCCCGTCAGTAAGGGGCCCGGTACTTACTGACGCGACCCATTTCCAGGTCGCTCCTCCGGCTTCTTCCCCATAGAATTCTGGATGGCTATGAACTCTTGGCATTTGCGTTTGATGTGACCCGGTCGGCCACAGTGGTAGCATAGCCCCGTATTTCGCGGAGCAACTGCATAAATATCCACTGCGTCCATCCCTTTTATCGTGGTGCGCTGGTACTGTTCTCGAGGGCGACCTCCGTCGTAGAAGTTCGTCCTCGGCTTCGTGAGCGAATCAGCGGCTTCGGCGAATTGGATGAAGTCTTGTAACCGTTTCGCAGGTCGTTGTAATTTTATCTGGTACTGTATTTCAGGCTTCAGCCCGCCCATGTACCTGTCGACCTTCTCCAACTCGTGCATGTAGCCACATCGATCCACCAATGTCAAGAATGACGTGGTGTAGTCGGACACAGATCCCAGCTGCTTCCACATGCGTAAAGTCTCGCGCGCTTTGTCTGAGTCAGGAGCATGCTCAAACCGCTTGCGAAGCTCTGCGCACCACGTTGCCCACGTGCGAATGTGAGTTGCACCAAACAGCAAATCTGCCTCGTCTTCGTCGCCGAATTCTTCGGACCACTCATGCTGTCCTTCTGTGCGAGTTGCCGCTGAGTCGACGATGACCTTCCACGGGCGGCCCCTTGCAGCAGTGTCAACGCGTGGCTGATCCGCTTTTGGTCGTCTCGGATGCCCGCCGCGTTAAAATAGATATTCATGGCGAATATCCACTGCCGCACCGTCACGCCTTTATTAACAGGGTCGAAAGGAGGGGGTTGCTGATATCTTACGCCGCCACTTGTCGAGCGCGGGGCTGTCGCCGCTAGCCGTGCCAGCTCCACTGGTGTCGGTTGCTGCTCACCCGCCTCGCTTCGTGCATCGTCGCCCGGCTCCTCTGAACACCTTTCCTGCGCCTGGCGAAGTCGTTGGTTTTCGTCACGGAGGTTGTTGACGACGCTTGTCAAATTGTTCAACTGCTCCATTAATGCTTGCAGGTCTACTGTTTCCTTGGCAGAGTTCGCAGCAGTCGAGGTTGTCTGTTCCTCAACCATCGAGTCTACCGGGGCCATGGCGGTCAGGACGGGGCAGACACTAGCGCACACGCTGTAGTTGTTGACGTAAAAATATTTACGATCAAAGGCAACTGCTGTGCAGCCGTGTTAATTCCCTCTGTCCACCCTTAACTAACCAACGGGGAAAACGGAAGGTTCCGAGAAAGGTCGGGCTCTGATACCAGCTGTTATGATTTAGAAGATATCAATGTACTATAATGAGAATACAACGTCCCTATTGCCATGAAAGCACAAGGTTATATAGGAGTGGACGTAATAGGGCGATAACCTCGGGACGTGGATAGGTTCGGCAAATGTGGCGACGCTGTCGGGCGCGACTCGAGAAAGGGTTGGGCCGAAAATGTAGGCCGAACGTGATGAGTCGAAGTGTTCGGGTGTACGCGGTAGCGGGCGACTCAGTAAGGAATGGAAATTCCTTACATGCACCCCGCTGCTATGCTACAGTTCGGGTTACTCGAAAGTTCTTATTTGAAAATGGAAGCTGTGTTATTGGTAGCAAGAGGAGGAACAAATAAGGCCCAGCATAACAAGGTGAACTCACACTCAGAAGAAGGCTAGTCCGCAATGGCTTCAAAATTCTACGGCCTGGAAGCCTTATTTTCACCTTTCCCACAATCCAAACCAACACGACGCAACACTACCAGTTAGCACACTGCAAAGGACTCTACCAACAGGTGAAAGCCCTGCAGCGAAATCAAGGAGCTGAATGGAAACTAAGAAGGGTTGAATAAGCCTTCTGGCATTTCTTGGTGCTGCTTCAGCAGTTGCTGCACGCCCTCCCTTCCCCCCCCTGCCAGCCGCCTCCTGCTGCCCATCACCACCCGGCCAGGAGGAGGGGCCAGGGGGGGTTCTCCCCCTGCCCCACCTCCTGCTGCATAACCACCTGAAAAGGCACCTGAGCCAGGACCTGGAGAAGCACCTGGCATCCCATGCATGTACAGGCCTGCTGCCTGCTGCTGTTGAGGAACATCGCTTACAGGAGCGCTCCTTTGACCGCTGTGGATACCGTAGACTGGCAGAGCCCTTTCACTATAGTCACGTTCCAGATCGTCACCTGCGACTGATCCTGTTGCTGAGCTGGCACCAGAGGCCCACTTCCGCGGCTTGCGATTGGCTGCTACTGCCATGTTGGCAAAAACAGCAGTGTAACCCAAACCACCAGCACCCTCACTATCATCCTCCTCACTATACCCTAACGGACCTGGCATACCCCCTCCCCCTCCCGCTCCCGCTCTCCCCCCTCCTCCTCCCTTTCTTAACTTGGCAGCTGCTTGAGCCGCTGCCACGGCTGCTGCCTGCTCAGCAGCTGGTTTCGCATCGGAAAAAGGCAAGGGTGGAACCACCATCTGCCCTGAGCCATACCTCCCTGCACGCCCACTCGCAACCCCAACCCCAACCCCAACCCCATAGCCCCCTGCCCCATGCCCCAGCAACCCCCCTCCATGTGCATGTGAACGAGACGGGGAATGCCGGCCTCTGGAACCAGAATTCCCAGAGGAGTGGGTGGACGAGCTGTACCCTGACAGGCGCCCCTCCTCCTCCTCCCCCTCCTCTATCGCGCCAAACCCCCGAGCAAACCCCCTGGGGGACAGTATCGACCCAGCCTCGGAGCCGCCTATCTGCGACCCCGACCCTGTTTTTCCATGGCGGTTCATCTCGGCCCGCTTGGCCGTTGCGAGGTTGGTGAACATCATCGTGATCCCCACTGAGGATTCATCGGCAGCGGCATCGTCTGAGTCGAACGGGAGGAGCGGCACTGCGTGGTTAGATGCGGTGCCAGTTGCTGCTGCTGCAGCGGCAGCAGCGGCGGCAGTGGCGGCAGCGGCAGCGTCAGCAGTGGTGGTGACAGAAGTCGCGGCGGCGGCAGCAGCAGCAGCAACAGCGGGGGGTTGTGAGGCGGGTAAGGAGAGGGGTCCGGAATCATTCTTGTGAGAGTGGTGCTTCCCTCCCCATTTGAATGCCTGAGCCAGCATTCCCTTTACTCCGTGCCTCTTCTTATTTCCGTCCGTCACTTCAGCACTCCCACCAGCAGCACCCACAGAAACAGCAGCAGCAGCAGCAGCAGCAGCAGCACCACCACCAACAGCAACAGCAGCACCAGCACCAGCACCAGCACCACCAGCACCAGCACCAGCACCAGGACCATACCTATTCTCACCCCCAATCGGCTCGCTCCCCGCACCGCTGCTCCCACAAGCCCCATTAAAACCATCACCAGCACTCAGCACACTACCACCACTGTAACCCAACCCAGCACTATTATACCCCATACTAGCATACCCGCCATTAGACCCCTGAACAGCATCCCCGTCTATACTGGATCGATTCGAGCTAGCAGCCACAGACGCCCTCTCTATAGCTTCTTCCAAAGACTCATTCGGCAACCCAAAAGTGGAGATTAATCCATAATCGTCGTGATTAAGCCCGACGCTCGACGCGTTACTGTTACTGAGGCTGCTGCTCCAGGTGCTGGTAGACGCCATAGAGGCGCCGTAGGGGCGAATGGCGGCACTAGAAGCATTGGTGGCAGTGGTGGCAAGGGAGGCGTTGGAGGGGGGAATGGCTGTGCAGCTTTCGTTGGACGATGGGATGATAGTGCTGCTTCCCTTGGGGCCGGTTCGTTTCGAGGGTGTGAACTCAGCTGGGGGAATCACACGCGGGGGTATGGCATGTTGGGGGATGGCAGCTGTTCCGATGATGACAGGGGCGGCGGGGGGGAGAGGTAGGGGCGCGCTATTAGCAGCCTGCTGCCAGCCCCCGGCTGGGGGGGGAATCACAGCCTGCTGCCACGCCCCAGCAGTACCAGCAGTACCAGCAGCACCAGCAGCGCCAGCACTGGCAGCGCCAGCAGCACGCGCGATAGCCTCTTCCAGGCTCTCCTCCGCCTGCCCCATCCCCGCCAGCTCCGCCGCCATCCCCCTCACTGCTTCATCCATACCCCCGGCACTCCTCCCTGCATTACTCCTCCCCTCCCCCTGTGCCCCCCTGGAAGACTGAGAGGCGACTGCTGCTGAAGCACCACCACTGGCACTAGCAGCAGCATGCCGAGAAGCGCTATGTGCAAACCTACCACCATCAGCCCCCCCAGCAGCACGTGCAATGGCGTCTTCCAGGCTCTCCTCCGCCTTCCCCATCCCCGCCCGCTCCTCTCGCATCCCCCTCACTGCCGCATCCATGTCTGCACCACCCCCTCCCGCACCACTTCTCCCTCCCCCTTGCACCCCCGGAGAAGCTTGGGAGGCGCCTGTTGCTTGGGAGGCGCCTGTTGTTGCTGCCGCATGGGATCGACCCGAGGAGGCATAGGAATAGCCCCCCGAGGCGAAGGAATCGCCTCCCGCTGAGGCAGCATCAGCCGCCCCAGCAGCCCGTGCAATGGCATCCTCCAGGCTCTCCTCCGCCTTCCCCATACTCGCCCGCTCCTCTCGCATCCCCCTCACTGCCGCATCCATGTCTGCACCACCCCCTCCCGCACCACTTCTCCCTCCCCCTTGCACCCCCGGAGAAGCTTGGGAGGCGCCTGTTGTTGCTGCCGCATGGGATCGACCCGAGGAGGCATAGGAATAGCCCCCCGAGGCGAAGGAATCGCCTCCCGCTGAGGCAGCATCAGCCGCCCCAGCAGCCCGTGCAATGGCATCCTCCAGGCTCTCCTCCGCCTTCCCCATACTCGCCCGCTCCTCCCTCATCGCCCTCACTGCTGCATCCATACTTGGGTCCGAGCCACTCGTCCCTGCTTCATGCGACCTTGCAGCAGCAGCAGTAGCAGCAGCACCACTAGCAGCAGCACCACTAGCAGCAGCACCACGAGAAGCACTGTGTGCAAACCTACTAGCATCAGCCACCCCAGTAGCACGTGCAATGGCATCCTCCAAGCTCTCACCCGCCTTCCCCATACTCGCCCGCTCCTCCTTCATCTCCCTCACTGCTTCGTCCAAAGCCAAATCCCTCCTCCCAGCAGACCTAGCAGACCCAGCCGCACCAGCAGCAGCAGGCGCGGCATACCCTGCTGCACCAGCAGCCGCAGGCACACCATACCCTGCCGAACCAGCAGCCGCACGCACAGCATACCCTGCCGAACCAGCAGCCGCAAGCACACCATACCCTGCTGCAGCAGCAGAAGAAGGCGCACCAGCATCCCCCCATGCTCTCCTCGATCCCCCACCACCACCAGCACCCTCAGCACCCGCCGCGCTGGCAGCCCGGGCTATAGCCTCCTCTAGCGACTCTGTGGGCGCGCTAAGGTGGGAGAATTCCCGGGTGACCCCAGTGCCGAGCGCGCCGTGAGACCCCGTGGCCCCCAGATACCCCAGAGAGTGCAGCGAGCCTAGAGAGCCCGAGTCCATGAACGAATCTCCGTTGTAGAGGTAGTCCTCTGGGAACTCGGGGTTTGGATCGAGCTGAGAGCAGGTTGCGTTTAGCTGGCCGTAGGCTGAGCTGGGTTCGCTGACACTATCAGCAGCAGCAGCAGCAGCACCACCACCACCACCACCAGTTGCACTGCCAGCAGTAGCACCAGCAGTAGCACCAGCAGCAGCACCAGCAGCAGCACCAGCAGCAGCAGCACGTGCAATGGCGTCTTCCAGGCTCTCCTCCGCTTGTCCAAGGGAAGCGAGCTCCTCCCTCATCCGCCTCACAGTTTCATCCATGTAGGAGTCACTGCCCCCAGCCCCACTGCCCCCAGCCCCACTGCCCCCATCACGGGCAGAGGCAGCACCAGCAGCACTACCAGCACCGGCAGCACTAGCAGCAGCGTTACCAGCAGCACTAGCGCTACCAGCAGCAGCAGCACGAGCAATGGCGACTTCCAGGCTCTCCTCCGCCTTCCCCATCCCCGCCAGCTCCGCCGCCATCCCCCTCACTGCCGCGTCCATACCAGGGTCGCTGCGACCAGCCCCACTGCCCCCAGCCGCACTGCCCCCAACCCCACTGCCCCCAGCCGCACTGCTCCTATCACGGGCAGAGGCAGCGCTGGCAGCACGAGCAATGGCGTCTCCCAGGCTCTCCTCCGCCTGCCCCATCCCCGCCAGCTCCGCCGCCATCCCCCTCACTGCCGCATCCATGCTCGGATCACTCCCCCCAGCCGCACTCCCACCAGCCGCAACCCCACCATCACGAGCAGCAGCAGCACCAGCCGAGGCAGCAGCACCACCCGAGGCAGCAGAGGTAGCGCGGGAAAGAGCTGCTTCCAGGGCGGCGTCGAGGCTCACCTCGCGCTCCCCCGATTGCGCCAGCTCCCTCTCCGCCTGCCGGATCAGCGCCAGCTCCTCCCGCATCCTCCGCACTGCTGCGTCCATCCCAGGGTCGCTCTCGCCAGCCCCTGGAGAATCTCCTGAAGAATCTCCTGGAACGCGCGAGCCTTGCTCGAGCGCATCGATTACTCCCGCCGACGGCGCACAGGAATTGCCCGCGGGTTGCGCATAGGAATTGCCCGCGGACCCCGCGTTAGTGGCCCGCGCTATGGCGTCGTCCAGGCTCTCCTCCGCCTGCCCCATCCCCGCCAGCTCCTCCCGCATCCGCCGCACTGCACCGTCCATAACCTCCTCGCTCTTGCTTGCGCCACGTGAACCGCCAGAGGCGTGAGAGTTCCCCGCAGCCGCATAGGAATTGCCCGCGGACCCCGCGGTAGTAGCCCGCGCAATGGCGTCGTCCAGGCTCTCCTCCGCCTGCCCCATCGACGCGAGCTCGTCCCTCATGCGCCTCACCGCAGAGTTCATAAACGCGTCGCTCTTGCCCGCACTGCCGCCCGCACCACGAGAAACTACCGCCCGTGCCGACGCAGCGCTCGATCCCGCCGCGCTCCCACCCGACCTTACTCCTGTACCCATGCTCATCCGGCCGTCGCTAGCCAGGCTCGGCTCCGAGGCTTCCTCCGAGGCTCGGGCGATGGCGTCTTCCAGAGACTCGGACGGCGTTCCCATGAGCGTGAAATCCAAGGTGTCGCCGCTTAACGAATCCATCTCCGCTATTGAGTTCCCGTCGTAACGGTAGTCCTCGGGAAACTCGGGGTCGGGATCGAGCTGCTGTTGAGCAGAAGTTGAAGGGGAAGCGCGAGAAAAGGACGGAACGATAGCCGCGAAAGGTTTGGCTAGGCGAGACCCTAGAGAGGCTCGTCGCGAGTTTGCGGTCTGGTTGGGTGAAGAGGAGTATTGATATTCGGCCGGTTTGGTGCTAGGACTGCTGCTGCTCGGATTACTGCTGCTAGGTTTACTGGTGCTCGGCTTGCTGCTGCTCGGTTTGCTGCTGCTAAGATTGCTACCAGCGAGGCGCGCTAAAGCGTCTTCTAGCGACTCCGTTGGCGTTCCGAAGAGGCCTTTTACTTCAGCCGCCATGTCTTGGCGTGTCTTGCTGGCCGACGACATTGGAAGCCTAGTGTCATGCGCTCGCCGAGCTCCTGCTGCGCGCCGAGCTCTTGCGCGTTACGATTCGTTTAGGTCAACGCGAATGGGAAATGGGTGATACAGAGAGGATAGGCCGTGCTGTTTGAAGACTTCGAGTTGACTCGACTCGTTTTGGTCGGCAGAAATGGGTGCTACAAGGGGATAGGCCGCGCAGTCGTGCGCGTGAAGGGAAAGTCTACCTCGAAGCATGCTATGGCTTAGCAAGAACGTGCTGAAGGGGAAGGCTCAACTTTGTGCTCTAGCAGCATAGGAGGAACAAAATTGACAAGGCAAGTCGTGGATAGGGACACCTAACGTTGACCGAGCCGACCTTGTTACAGTATGACCTAAACTACTGTACGCTGCCTTGGTGGTGCTGAAAGGGGCGGTGGGGAGGAAAACTGAACAGCAAGGCTCGAACTGCTTTTTCTGGAACCAACTTTCGGCAATCCCAAGGGCAGACTTCCCGAAACCAACCACTGATGACGGGACACAGCACGACAATCCCAATGGCAAGATGCGGGGGGCGGAGGGGGGGGGGGAATGGAGGGAAGAGGGGGGGAGGTTGGGGGAAAAGATGGGGAAGACGCGGGAAGACGGGGGAAAGGAGCAGCTAGGAAGAAGGAAGGGGAGGGGGGGAAGAAGGGGGAAAGAGCGGGGAGATTTGGGGAACGGAAAGGGGTGCTTCGTGGGGAAGGCGGAAACGTTCTCGTTCTCCCCTTCCCTCCCCTTCCCTCCCCTCCCCTCCCCACGGTGAACCAGACCCGGACCGCAGCTGGCTTGGGGGGCCACGTCAATCTCATAGCCGCGGACTTTGTTGGAGGTGGGAGGAAGGTGTCGGTTTTGCATGGCCCGCAAGCAAGGAAAGTCTGCCGCAACAATCGGGGACAAAGGGTGAATGGTGCGCTGTGATTGCTTCAGCTAGGTTCGGACGGAATTGTACCTTCGGTCTGGGCCACCCACCAGTTCAGTTCCCCCAAGCCCGCAACCACTCCCAGCAGAACCTGAAGGGGCTCGCATGTCGCACAACAAGGCGGTTGTTGTGCTGGACAAGCGGAGGAACTGTCGGCAGGCGAGGGGTGGCCGTGTGACAGCAATGCGAGGGGCCTAGGATGCCAGGACGACAATGTGGAAAATCGCACGGGCAGTTTCGATCATTCACGAAGAAATGTGCGCCGGTAAACGATCTCGACCGGATTCGTTTGGCGGAAGCCGTTCATGTCCAAGGAGTACCAGAAGTCAATGGAGTCCAGCTTGGACTACAATTTATAAACCCCTTACAAAAGGGCTTGTGCCCCACAAATCGCTACGCCTCCGCACAAATCTGCATAGAAAGTCACATATCACTCTACAAAGAAGGTCGTCTCAACCTAGCTATGCTATAAATTCTGCTACTTCAATTATTTAGAAAATATAATATAAGCACATGGACATCATGCATTGAAATATATGAATCAGCTAAGGGTCTCGTAGTTTCTTTGTTCGAACATGTTGGGAGTTTTGTAGGGGTAAAAGGCTTAAGAAATCGGCGAAGCTCACATCCGTGCAAAATGTTGAACACGTTGAAGTAAACCGCACAAAATTTACCACACCCAGAGAGTACATTACATGGACCGCAAATCCGGCCAACCTCACGTCCCTATCTGTTGTACACTGCTCAGGGCTGCGCGGCGCGGGCCAGGTGCCTCACGCCTGGAAGTGCGCTCAGACCCGAAACCCTGTAGCGTGCTCCATTCATTTTTTGTCTCTGTATGGGATGTCCGCAGGGTAATTCACCCTGAAAATTGGGTAATTTGAGGAATGGCCCTGATCATGTGTGCCCAGAGGCGTGTCCAGGCCCATAGCTGCACGATACTCCACCTGCAAACACCAAAAACATTTCAAACAGGTCATGATTGCAGTCTGTGCCATCATAGAATACAGCATAATCTGCTGTATTCACAGATGTAACACGCATGAGAAGAAATAACACCACAATGAGTGGTGTGGTGTACCGAGAACCGGTGACTATGACATGCACGCGTAAAAATAACACTGTGACATAGAACTCTAGACTCAAGACCTTATAATTACCTCCACAGGCCTTCCTTTTGCATCTGTAATTTGTGGGTCCATGTATTGAGGCTGCTGCTTTAATAAAGTTTGACGAAGAGAAGGCAAATCAACTGTTGTTGGGGCTCCATCTGAGAGGTGAGGACGTTTATAAGGGGGATGCGAGTGAGTGAGAGCAAGGTTTCGCAACTTCAGGGAAAAAAAACTTCAGGATGCATCTGAGAGTGCCTGATATCAACAGAGGCACCTGAGAAAACACCTGAGACCAGCAGAAGCACCTGACAAAAGAAGCCTCCCGTTGACCCACACTGAATGCACTGTGTTGCCTGCGATGCCTGAGCTGGACAATGGTAAGCCGGAGAGGTAGGGACCGGGGGGGAGGGGGGTGGGGGGGTGGGGGGGGGGAGGGGAGAAGGGGGGGAATGGAAGAGGAAAGAGGAAAGAGGAAAGATGGTGATTTGGTGGAGGCACAGAGAGAGGTGCGCAGCAGGCATCTGCGCAGAGCATCTGCCACATAAGCAGGCCGAATTTCACCCACTTTCCCATTCACCCCTTCAGTAGCACCTTTGCCTCGTGAGCACCAGTTGCCCCACGGGGTCAGCTCGTGGCAGCATGGAGAGAGCCGTCAAGTCAACCAGCACGGCAGCTGCTGCATAGCCGGGCCTGATCACCCCTGCCCGCCCTCCCTATCATCCCCATACACCCACACTGTTTGACTCACCCACACTGCACATTCCCCACTAGCCCATACCTCTGTCTTGTGAGCACCAGCTGACCAAGAGGGTCAGCTCGTGGCAGCATGGATAGTGCCGTCAAGTCAACCAGCACAGCATCCGCCACATAGCCGGGCCTGATCGCCCCTGCCTTTCCTCTCATGCCCAATGCTGCCGCCCCTCCCTCTGTTGCCATCTTCAGCACCTCTCTAGGAGACAACCACCGGCGATACTCGGGGGTTGTGAGCTGATGGCGAAAGAGGGGGAAAGAGGGGGGAAGAGGGGGAAAGAGGGGGTTGTGAGGAGCAATGAGAATGCCACATAGCCGGGTGGGGCCTGATCGCCTGATAGCCGGGTGGGGCCTGATCGCCTGATCGCCTGATAGCCAGGTGTGGCCTGATCGCCCCACCCCCACTGCTGTCGCCCACACCTCAGCCGTGGGGGTGAGAAGAAAGACCGGGTGGGGTCTTTCTTCTCACCCCCACTGCTGTCGCCCACACCTCTGCTGCCAGCTTCAGCATCTCCCTCACAAGCTACACGATTTTCTTGCACGCATCAAGACAAAAAGATACAAAAATAAAACAAATGCTATACCGCATGATATAAATCGATATATCAACTAATATACAATAACAATATAAGGAGTTATAAGCTTACCGGGTTGACAATACATGCCAACTTGACAGCTTCCAGCATGTTCTGTGAGTCGTTGGAGCACTGCCCATCGCACCCAATAGCCACAGCAATGCCTGTCTGCCCCTGTCTGCCCCTGCCTGTCTATGTATGTACACATGGGCACTCACAGGGTTGACAATACATGCCAACTTGACAGCTTCCAGCATGTCCTGTGAGTCGTTGGAGCACTGCCCATCGCACCCAATAGCCACAGAAATGCCCTTATCGAGGTAGTCTCTTATGGGAGCAATGCCAGAGCCGAGCCGGAGGTTTGAGACCGGGTTATGCACGGCTACTGCTCCACACTCCGCCATTATTGCTTGCTCCTCGTCCTCCTGCAGGGGGCATGCCATGGGTAAACCAGCACACATTCGGATGAGGGACCTGCTGGGGAAGTCTCGCATGGGAGCAATGCCAGAGCCCAGCCGGAGGTTGGAGACTGGGTTCTGCAAGGCTACTGCGCAACACTCCGCCGTTATTGCTTGCTCCTCGTCCTCCTGGAAATGGGAGGTGCAAGCACACACATGCGCACACTTGTGATTCCAGAGCGCAGCTGGGGGTTGGAGAGGCCGGGTTATGCACGGCCACTGCTCCACACTCAGCCATCATTGCTTGCTCCTCGCCCTGTGTAATGAGTCGACTCAAAAATCGACTCATTACACCACACTCGTTGCTTGCTCCTCGCCCTCCTGGAAATGGGAGGTGGAGGTGCCCGCACATGTGCGCACACAAGTGATGCGAAAGCCCAGCTGGAGGAGTTGAACACCGGATTATGCGCAGAAACGAGGTGGCTTTTGAGTCAACTCAAAAGTTGCCTCATTATGCGCGGAAACTGCTCCACACTCTGCCCTGACTGCTTGCTCCTCGTATGAATGACTCTCATACATACTTGTACTAAGTAGGACCAAATATTCTCACCAGCCACACGCAGTGTGCGCACGAGGTGCCAGGGAGCGACAACCACCCGATGACTTTAAGAAGCTTCACACAACACACTCGGCAGCAATGTGCACGCCCTCAGTAGCCTAGCGGTGCTGGAATTTCATGCCAGCAGTCTCATGCATCCACTCACCAGCCACACGCAGTGCGCGCACGAGGTGCCAGGGAGCGACAACCACCCAATGTCTTTCAGCAGCTTCACACACCCCCCATCAGGGTAGCGTGACCTGCTCTGAAGCCTGGGCGTGGGAGGGAGAGGGGAGCAAAGAGACGCGGGTGAGGGGCTTTGCACGTCAGTGACAATGCTTAAAAAAAGCCTCCAAAGTTCAGGCTATGCTTCAAGGGTTATGCTTCAAAGGTTATGTTTCAAATATTATGCTTTCAAGGTTATGCTTCAAAGGTTATGTTTCAAAGGTTATACTTCAAAGGTTATCCTTCCAAGGTTATGCTTTCAAGGTTATGCTTCCAAGGTTATGTTTCAAAGTTTATACTTCAAATGTTATGCTTCAAAGGTTATCCTTCCAAGGTTATGCTTCAAAGGTTATGCTTCTAAGGTTATGCTTCCAAGGTTATGCTTCCAAGGTTATGTTTCAAAGGTTATACTTCAAAGGTTATGCTTCAAAGGTGATCCTTCTAAGGTTATGCTTCAAAGTTTAGCCTTCCAAGGTTATGCTTCCAAGGTTATGCTTCAATGCTTAGCTTGTGTGCTATCATGTGTTTTGTTTTTGAGAATTCTAAAAAACAAAGCAGGCATAAGTGGGCTATCAAACCTTACTTAGGGCTTGCTATGTGAGTGACAATGCTAAAAGAAGCTTGCAGACTATGCTTAGCATAGCAGGCACGTGGCGCCTGTCACTCCTTACTTCTGCATGCATGACTCCAGCAGGTGGATGTGGCCGCACAGGGCAAACTCAAGCATCTGCAGACCCGGCTTTAAGTCTATGCATGCATGCAGGCACAGGGCAAAATCCAGCCTCTGTAGATGCACTAAAACTTTAGATTCGACTGTGACAATCCAACGGAACTCCTAGCTCGAAGTTTAAACGAATGAGTGAGTAGTGAACGCAGGGATAGGGAAAAGAGGACGAATAGTCCGTCAAACTGACGAAGGCCCTGTGCCGAAACGCGCGTACGCTCAGTTTGACGGACTATTCGTCCTCTTTTCCCAATCCCTGCGTTCACTACTCACTCAATCGTTTAGACTTCGAGCTAGGAGTTCCGTTGGATTGTCACGGTTGAAACTAAAGTTTTAGGGCAAAATCCAGCCTCTGTAGATGCGGCTTAAGTTTTTGCATGCATGCAGGCACGCAAAGCGGATGCGGCCGCACAATTCTCGCTCCACTCCTTTTGCATGTCAGATTCCAGCAGGTGGATGTGGCCGCACAGGGCAAACTCAAGCCTCTGCAGACGCGGCTTAAGTCCTTGCATGCATGCATGCATGCGCACACTGCATTTGAAAGCAGGCACCGCGGATGCATGCCCGCAAAGTGGATGCATGCACATTTCTTGCTCCTTACTTCTGCATGCGAGACTCCAGCAGGTGGATGTGGCCGCACAGGCCTGGTGGGTAACCCACAGCGCAATGAAAGCAAGGAAAGAGCCTGTTCTCCACGTTGATTGGGACTCGAACATGCCAGACTCACTTCTGCATGCGAGACTCCAGAAGGTGGATGTGGCCACACAGGCTAAAATCCTTCCGTATCTCCACAGCCCGCCTGATCAACTCTTCCTAAGAAGATACAGAGGAGGGGAGGGGGTGTGGGGGAGGAGACGGTTGGGGATAAGGGGGAGAGCAGCGCACAGTCCTCATGTATTGACTCCAGCAGGTGGATATGGACGCACAGGCCAAGTATCGCCATTCAACCCCTGGCTAAACAAAATAGACTAAAGTCAACCTGGCTCAACCACTGCTCAGTCAACGCTAGTCAGCGTCAGTCAACGCCAGTCAACTCACGGATGCTCCCCAGTTCTGCACAGGACCAATCACAATGTTGATGCCGCCTGCAGGATCGTGAAACTTCTGCGCAGCTTCCCTCCAGAGGCTGAGAACCCTCTCGGTGTTTTCCTCCTATGGAAAAGAGGGGAGAAGGGAGGAAAGAGGAGAGAAGGGAGGAAAGAGGGGAGAAGGGAGGAAAGAGGAGAGAAGGGAGGAAAGAGGGGAGAAGGGAGGAAAGAGGGGAGAAGGGAGGAAAGAGGGGAGAAGGGAGGAAAGAGGGGAGAAGGGAGGGGAAGATATGGAGGGAGGGAGGGAGGGAGGGAGGGAGAGAGGTGCTGTAAAATATATATATATATAAATACAACATGCATGCCTAGATTAGGAGGTGTACTCATTATCTTTATTGGGGGGTTGTTGGTTGGGTTGACCAACCCCACATTTGGGTTGGTCAAGATTGGATTTGGTCCTAGACATTTGGTTGGCACTATTCCAACCAAATGGTCATAAGAACCAACCAAATGGTCCTAAGAACCAGCCAATCGCCAAGCACCACACATTGTGGTTGCTTGCCTTCCAAGCAACCTCTCCCATTGGTCCACATTGTGACCAATCGGAGAGCACCACACTTTGTGGTTGCTTGCCTTCCAAGCAACCTCTCCCATTGGTCCACTTTATGGCCAATAAGAGAGCTTCCCTTCCAACTCTTCCTTGCTCCTTGTGTGTACAATAGCCTTTTGGCTCCCTACTCAATTCACTCCTTTCTCCTCAAAGCTAGTCCTTCAGGAGGGAGGGAGGGTTTGCTCGTTTTGAGAGCACATGACTGGGGCGTGTTTAGCCGAGCCAACAACAAACCTCACCCGTCTCTGTGCTAGTTGCTCTCTGAAGAAGCCGTCAGGCCCCATGGCGCCAGGGCACACCCCCTCCTCCCCCGCCCTCTCATTGCCCCTTTGGTTCAACCCAAGAGTCGAGTTATCACCTCTCTTTGAACCTCACCTGTCGCTCTGCTAGTTGCTCTCTGAAGAAACCATCAGGCCCCATGGCCCCAGGGCACGCCCCCTCCTCCCTCGCCCTCTCACTACCCGTTTGATTCAACCCAAGAGTCGGGTCATTAACCCTGTTAGAACCTTGCGTGAGGAGTGACGAGGGGCATGGGGGTGTGAGGAGGGTCAAAAATAGACTCCTCACGCGGGTCATTAACCTTGTTAGAACCTCACCTGCCTCGCTGCTAGCTGCTCTCTGAAGAAGCCGTCAGGCCCCATGGCCCCAGGGCACAACCCCTCTTCCCTCGCCCTCTCGTTGCGCTCACATGCGTCTGGCACTAGAGGAAAGTAGTTCTGCAAGGAGGTTGAGGGGAAGGGGAAGGAGGCGGGGAAGGGGAAGGGGAAGGGGAAGGAGAAGGGGAAGGGGAAGCGGGAGGGGAGGGGTGAAAGATATAGATAGCGACACAAGAGAAAGTAGTCTTTGGGATGGGGGGGGCAGTGGTAAGAGACTCAGATTAATGAAGAAGGAAGAAGAGAAATGAAGAGAAAGTAGTCTTTGGGATTGGGGGGGCAGTGGTAAGAGACTCAGATTAGTGAAGAAGGAATGGAGAAAAGGCAAGAAGAGCGTACGTGGGGAAGGGGGGGGCGAGGGGAGATGGAGGCGGAGGGGAGGGGAGGGGGCGCTGGTGGGGAGAGCCCACTTTTCGGCGCCTCAACAAAGGGGGCGTGGGTGGGAAGAGCCCCGTGAGCGTTAAAAAGGAGAGTGCTTTGGCAATGAGGAGTTTTGAAACGTCCCGACGAAAGGGGAAGAAAGAAAGGTCCAAGGAAAGGAAGAGGGGGAGGAAAGGAGGGAAGGAGGACTTGTTGAAACGTCCAAATGAGTCTGGTTTTGAGGCGCCTCAAATTTAGAAAGGAAGGGGAGAAAGACGGACTTACTGAAACGTCCAGATCGCCAAGCATACTGCACAGTGAACATGGGGAGGATGCAGATGGCGCAGCAGAGAACAGAGGGCAGGGAAACGAGGGTAGAAAAAAAAGGGTAGAGAAAAGAGGGCAGAGAAAAGAGCGCAGGGAAAAGAGGCAGAGAAAACAGAGAAAAGAGGGCAGAAAAAAGAGGGCAGAAAAAAGAGGGTAGAGAAAAGAGGGCAGAGAAAAGAGGGCAGAGAACAAGAACAGAGGGCAGAGAAAAGAGGGCAGAGAAAAGAGGGCAGAGAAAAGAGGGCAGAGAAAAGAGGGCAGAGAAAAGCAGGCAGAGAAAAGAGGGCAGAGAAAACAGTGGGCAGAGAACAGAGGGCAGAAAACACAGGGAAGGCATGGTTATGTGGAAAGATAGGCCTGGGAGACCGTGAGACCGATCTTTGCCTTGGACAGGCGAATGTGACTCTTAAATGAGGCACAAAATACCAAGTGTTCTGGGGATAAGCGCGTTATTTAGGCGCCTCAAAACTGAGACTGTTTTTTAGAAGACCGGTCTCTGCCTTGGACAGGTGAATCCTTGTTTTTCACAGAGATTGGTCCCCTGCCCTGTGAATTTGATTTTCGGACGAGGAAACACAGTGCGGTGCTTTTTAGTTGACTCAAAAGCATCTGGCTTTTGAGTGAGGAAACACAGTGCGGTGCGCTCTTGGGGTAGGCACGTGAAGTGGGACGCACGGGGCAATGAAGGCTCGAATGCCGACTTGCTTGTATGCGCGCACTGCTGCCTCTAGGTCAGATAGGTCCCGAATGTAACTGGCGGAATGGGGGGGAAAGGGCGGGGGGGGGAGGTGAAGGGGGGGGGAGGAGTGGGGGGGAAGGAGCGAGGGGAAGAGTGATGCTAGTTAAGACGCCTCAAAAAGAGAGGGGGAGGGGGAGGGGAGTGGGGAGGGAGGGGGGGGGAGGAAGGATGACTTGGTTGGGGGAAACACGGGGTGAAGGCAGGGGAGAATAAGAGGAGGGCGAATGCAGTGGAGGGTTCAAAAGCGGTGCAGAGGGTTAACGGGGCACAGAGAGGCATTGAGAAGCATACAGAGGCATGAAGAGAGGTAAAGAGGGATACTGACAGGTGATCCATAACGGCTGTGCCTCCAGTCATGATGGTTTCGATTGCAGTATGTAGAGCTGCCCAATACACCTGGTGTGGTGGGGTGGGGTGGGTGGGGTGTGATGAGGTGGTGTGGTGGGGTGCGGTGTGGTGGAGTGTGGTGGGTGTGGTGGGGTGCGGTGGGGTGCGGTGGGTTGTGGTGGGGTGTGGATTCCAATGAGGAAAGGATGAGTACAGCTGTGCCTCCACTCATGGTGGTTTCGACCGCAGTATGAAGAGCTGCCCAATACGTGGGGTGGTGTGGTGTGGTGTGGTGGGGTGTGGTGGGGTGTGATGGGATGTGGTGGGGTGTGGTGGGGTGGGGTATGGCATGGGAAGGACTGCAATGGAGGGAAAGAGGCCTTCTGGACTCCAGAGCTGATAATTTTGGTTGCAGTATGTGGAGCTGCCCAACACACCTGGTGTGGTGTGGCGGGGTGGGGTAAGGTTTTGTTTGTCATGTTATGGTATGGTATGGTATGGTATGGTATGGTATGGGGCCCCACACCCCAGCAGCAACCCATCCCCCTCCCCCCTTCCCCCGCACAAGTTCCCCTCAATCCAACTCCCCAACGCCCACCCTTGCCCCAGCCCAGCAGCAACCCATCCCCCCTCCCTCCCCCCTTCCCCTTGCAGTAGTTTCCCCCCACTCCCCAAAGCCCACCCTCGCCCCAGCCCAGCAGCAACCCATCCCTCCCCCCCTTCTCCCCTTCCCCCACAGTAGCTTCCCCCCACTCCCCTCCCCAAAGCCCACCCTCACCACATCAGGGGAAGCATTGGGGTTGGGTCCTCGGGGGTCCATGTGGGTAAAGAGGGAGTTTACCCACAGCTCCAGGGGCTGGAAGGGAGGGTGAGAGGGAGTTGGGAGGAGGAGAGAGAAGGGCAAAAGGAGGATTGGACGGATCTTGGGAGTTAACCCACAGCTCCCTCCCAGCCAGCTCTAGGGGCTGGAAGGGAGGGTGAGAGGAAGTTGGTAATGCAGAGGGAGAGGGAGACGGAAAGAAGACATGAGATAAAAATGGGAATAAATACACGAATTAGGCATAAGAGCGATTTATCTTAACCAGAGGCACGTACCATGCACCATTCAACAAGTCACCCTGAATTGCACCTCACTTATGGGCGTTTCTTCTCACCAAACGGCGGTTCATCTCACGGGTGCGTTTCATCTCACCAAACGGCGTTAAATCTCACCAGAGGCATGATGCCTCCCCTGCCCCACGCCTCTATGCTGTGCGTGTGTGCGTTGACCATGCCTGGAAGGAGCTGCCACAGAGAAGAATGACCAGGGACGGGGCGAACAAGGGTGTTCATGAGAAATCTGCAGGATGTTTCTGATCATTCTCAAAAACTCCCTGCAAGGGGAAGGAAAAGAGGAAGAGGAGAAGTATGAACACGGAAGGGGCGAGCGGGGGAGCAGAGAAAGTGGGCGGCCTCTTGATCGAGTGCCAGATATGCTACGTATCATGGACGTACCATTTTATTAGTCCCGTCTATAACGTGTACAGTCCTGCCCCTTTCTGCTACTGCCGCATCGGCATCAGCAGCACCAGCAGCAGCAGCACCAGCAGCAGCACCATCATCAACTGCGTTAGCATCACCCGCAGCAGCAGCATCAGCAGCAGCATCAGCAGCAGCGTGGGTGACAGCGTGGGGAGTGATGGGCGAAGTGCGAACGACCGATGCTATCGCTCCCTGGGACATGCGAACAGTGAAGCGCGCATAGCTGGAGGGGCATACCACACCAGGGGATGACAGGACGATGCAGTGTTGCAGGGGAGGAATGGGAGGGGAGGAATGGGAGGGGAGGTTGGGGAGGGAGGAATGGGAGGGGAGGTTGGGGAGGGGAGGAATGGGAGGGGAGGTTGGGGAGGGGAGGAATGGGAGGGGAGGAATGGGAGGGGAGGAATGGGAGGGGAGGAATGGGAGGGGAGGCTGGGGAGGGGAGGAATGGGAGGGGAGGAATGGGAGGGAGGTTTGGGAGGGGAGGAATGGGAAGAGGAATGGGAGGGGAGGAATGGGAGGGGAGGAATGGGAGGGGAGGAATGGGAGGGGAGGAATGGGAGGGGAGGAATGGGAGGGGAGGAATGGGAGGGGAGGAATGGGAGGGGAGGAATGGGAGGGGAGGGTTGGGAGGGGAGGAATGGGAGGGGAGGAATGGGAGGGGAGGAATGGGAGGGGAAGTGAGAAGAGAATCGACAGAGAAAGGAAGATCAGAAAAGGAGGAGCACAGCAGCACCGCAGCACAGCAGCACAGAGGCACCGCAGCCAACGCGACTTTGAGTCGACTCAAAAAGCTTCACAGGAGCACGGAAGCCAACGCGACGCAGCATTCAGCTGCACGCTGCCCGTAGGGAGCTTCCCCCCAAAGTATCCCGCGGAGACTACCCGCGCAGAATATCCGCGGACACTACCCGCGGCTACTACCCGCGGAGGTTATCCCGCAGACCACCCGCGCGAATTCCCCGAGCCTACCCATTGAAGGGATTCCCCTCTTGGTCTGCGTCAACCGGCATAAGCACATTCGTTATAAGGTAATCCACGTCGCTCTCCTGCTGCGACCGCGCCGGCCGTAGCTGGAGCCGCCATCGCACGACGGGAGGCGAAACGGTCCTGCGCTAGGGAGAACAGCACTCGTTATTGACAGACCGCGAACCGTAATGTGTTGCAATGCTGCGTTATAAGGATGATAATTATCTCCCAACTCCAGGCATGAGGGCGTGGAACTTACAGTTCCAGTTCTCGGAAAACCGGAACTCAGGCTGGATATACAATTCGCAGCACATTTCGATAAGTTTTCGCGAATACCCTTCGGGGCAAAATTTTCGCGATTGTAAATTTTCCTCGTTTCTGAACCTGCACACCCAATAATGGTACACCTGAATGAAATCGCCGAAGAATTAATTTCCCTCTAAGGATAAAATCGGGAACGTGTTCCGGAGCTTCGTCTAACGGGTATATCGCTTGTCTTATCACTTTCCCCTTGGCCTTACTTCCGCCATCGCGCCAGCCATCCCTTCCGCGTCTCGCTCCGCCGCGTTTCCCGCTGCTGCCCTTATCCTCCAGTGACGAGGTGACGGCGGTAGCTCTCGCTATTATCCACCTCTCTCCTACCGTTTTCACGTAAGAGTTTGTAATCATTACTCGTTACATTCCTCTGCGCTTTCGTTACTAGCGTCTGATTCAAGTGCTTCAGTGATCGCCGAAAATGGTGTTCAAGGGGAAGCCGACCTTCGATGTAACACCGCCGGACGATTTCGACCCGAGTAACCCGTACGCGGATCCGGTGGCGATGCTGGAGCATCGCGAATGGCTGGTTCGCGAAAAGATGGTCGCGATTGAGCGTGCGAAGTTGCTTCGCGAACAGCTGAAGCAGTGTTACCGCACGGAAGGGGTGAATCATATTAAGAACTGCAGCGGCTTAGTTGAGAAATACCTGTCGTCGATTAAGAACGTCGGGTGGGGTAAGGACACGCGGATCCACAAGCTCTACAGCGATACCGCGGAGCAGAGCTGATCTTGTAACGGGACAACCTTATAACGAGTCTATGTTGCGATACGGTGAGCAATGGGTTGGGTACGAAGGGGGGTTCTGTAGCGAGCTTATGATCTGAACATAGGGTTAAGGAGGAGTGAGGAGTGAAAAGAGAGAGGAGAGAGAAGAGAGGAGTAGGGCACGATATGGGGAGATTGAGGAATGCTGGGAGTGCTACATGGGAGATGGGAACTAAGACGGTTAGAGAAGGGAGTGAGTAATAGAGTACGAGAGGGAGTGTTTGAGAAACTAGGAGATTGCAGGAGTAGGGGGGTACGGAGGAAGTGCTTGGGAATCAAGAGGTGCATGATAGATGAGGATGAGGACAAGGTGGAAGGGAAGTGGGGGGGGAGGAGTGGATATGAGTGGGATAGAGAGATAGAGAGATAGAGAGGTTGATTTGATAAGAGCATCTGACGTGATGGAAGTACCATGAAGGGCACTGGATGATGGTAAGGGAAGGGAGGGATTATTGGGTGATGGCGGTGCTGCTGAGTGACTTTTGAGTCGACTCAAAAGCGAAAGTGTTGTGTGACATTGTAACGAGATGACTTTTGAGTAGACTCAAAAGTCACCTCAGTACCATGAAGGGCACTGGATGATGGTAAGGGAAGGGAGGGATCATTGGGTGATGGCGGTGCTGCTGGTTGTTCAAATATTCTACAACAAGTAACTTCAAGTTCCTTCTTGCTCTATGGCTTTCATAGTACCGGCACCATGAGTCATGTGCTAACATGCTTACATCCCCCACGCTCTGACATGCCGACATTCTCGTCCTTCCCACTGACCATGTGAGCGAGCAAACATTCTCGTTCTTCAGTTTCTTTCACCAATGTGTGTTCGTTCCATGTTTGCTTCCCCGGCTGCCTGTGGTTCTTGCTTACAGGCCCGAACTACGTACAAAATATTAAATGGATTTGCTGGTACTGGTATTATTCGCTTATGCTTGACATTTGCACGCACATGATTTCCTCCAGACCTGTTTGTCTTTCCGTCTTGAAACCAAACTGTTATTGATTGATCTATAGGCCTCTTGAACTGCAATGCCTCTCAGACTCCTCGGGATTATCACGTTCCTCTACAGGCCGCATTACAGCAATTGAAGGTGCTGGGAGAATAGTCTATTGGAGGTGGGGCTGGATAGCAAGCAAAACCCCACATTTGGTACTAGTAAAGGGGTCGTTTACCTGGTCTGGCAAATCAAGCCTGCTCCTGAAGTTTTGTCGCCACACATGGCCTTCCCTGCTGCCCTGTTGAAATATGATGCTGCCATTCAATAAGTACTTCGGTTACTTAAGGTTCATATGTGTCACTATTTGGGAATTTCCCATAACCAAAATCACGGAGGAGAATAACTTGACGATATTTCCCTCGTACGCAAGCTTGCAGCAACCCAGTTACCTGATCGTTATAACACTCAGGAGAATTTATATTTGTTGAAAAAAATTCAGGTCTGTGCCTAGTCAGCAAGGGGTCACGGGACTTGGTCTCCCTCACACCACACCCAAGCGCACACTCCTGCTTCAAGGAGCCCTCTTGAGCCTCTTCAGTACCCGCCTGGAGTAACTGCCTCCAACACCTTGAGTACCTGCCTCAAAGCACGGGTTCTTGGACTCAGGAGAGCTGGGATTTGTGCCTGGCCAATGTCGGATCATGTGACTTGGTCTCCCTCACGTCCAAGCGCTCATTCCTGCTAGAAGGGACCCTCTTGAGCCTCACCACCCCACCCCAAGTTACTGGTTCAAAGCACCACACCCCAAGTACATGCCTCAAAGCAAGGCCTCTTGCACTCAGGAGAACTGGGATTTGCGCCTAGCCAATGTCGGATCATGGGACTGGGTTTCCCTCACGTCCAATCGCACACTCCTGCTAGACGGTGCCCTCTTGAGCCTCAATGCCCCAAATAAATGCTTCAGGGTGCTCATCCCTCCTCCCCCCCCTCCTCCCCCTCCTCCCCCTCCTCCCCCTCCCTCTCCCCCTCCTCCCCCTCCCCTCCCCCTCCCCCTGGCCGCCTGCTGTGACTACGGGAACGTGACTCAAATGATCGCCACTTTCAGAGTCCCACTCTGCAGAGAACGCACTCTCCCCTCCATAGGAGCTCGAGAGCTCCCTCAACCCATGCCTCTCGTGCTGCTGCTGCTGCTGATGCTGCTGGTTGTTGAGGTGCTTGTGGTTGTGTTGCTGCTGCTGCTGCTGGTTGTAGTACCTGTCATCGCCGCTTGCAGCGAGCTCTGAAATCGGTGGTTTGTTGGACGGTACTAAGTCGAGAGCTCCCAGTGACGTTGGTGAATAAGAGGGAGTAGGTGAATAAGAGGGCAGGGACGATGCTTTTTCCACACTCCGTTTGCTTCCCCAGTCGTTCTGGCCAATGCTGCTGCCGCTGATGCTGCTGCTGCTGATGTTGCTGCTGCTGGTCTTACCACTCTTCCCTTGGGCTTTCTCAGCCGCTGCCGCTGCTGCTACTGTTGATGCAATAGAGGTTGCTGATGCTGTCTGTGCCCTTGCAAGCGTCTCTGGCCGTGCTCCCACTGCTCCTGCTGCTGTAGATGCAGCTGCTGTCGCCGTTGCAACTGAGGCCGCTCGGGCCAGACTCCTCAGCCTCGAGTCCAGATCCCTCCCTGGGGATGCTCGTGTCATTGCTGCTCCTCCTGCTGACGTGTCAAGCTTTCTCCTAGGAGAAGCAGCAGCAGCAGCCGGGTAAGCAGCTGCTGCCGGGTTAGCAGCACGAGTATCAGCAGGAGAAGCAGCAGCAGCCGGGCTAGCAGCTCCTGTTGGTGTTGTTGTTGTTGTTGCAGTGGGCATGGCTGCAGTTGCTGCAGCTGACGCTACTCTGGCCAAATCCCTCAGCTTGGCGTCCAAGCCGCGCCCTGATGCTGCCCGCTCTAGTGGTGCTTGTGCTGCTGCGCCAGACCTTACATTTCCAGCAGCAGCAGCAGGGTTAGCAGCTGTTGTTAGCGTTGCTGTGGGCACCACTACAGTCGCTGCAGCTGACGCTACTCTAGCCAAATCCCTCAGCTTGGCGTCTAAGCCTCGCCCTGATGAAGTCCGTGCTAGTGGCGCTTGTGCTGCTGCACTAGAGGCTACATTGACAGCAGCAGCAGCAGCATCACCAGCAGCAGCAGCAGCAACGTCAGCAGCAGGAGCAGCAATAGGAGTGGCAACAGCAGCAGCATCACCAGCAGCAGCAACAGCACCACCATCACCACCACCATCACCAGCAACAGTGACAAGCCCGTGCACCTGAAGCCCCATCAGGTGCTTTTGCAGGTTCTCTATCCTGCTCTTCTGAGCCGCCTCAGGGTCCACCTCAGGTGTCCACATCTTAAAAGATGCGCTATTGCCCCTGGGGGAAGACCTGGGGGAGCACCTGGGGGAACACCTGGGGATATCTCTGGGAAAACTCCTGGGGGAACGGGGGGGCGAGGAGCCAACAGCACCTGCTGCGTCTGCTGCTTTTGTTGCGTAGGCGGCGATTCCCAGGCAGAAAGAGATTTCTTGGATTGGGAGCGTGGGAGGAAGGCCAGTAGCAGCATTCTCGGCAGCACCATCATCACCAACAGCAGAACCAGCTGTACCAACAGTACCAACAGTACCAGCAGTATCAGCAGTACCAGCAGTACCAACAGTACCAACAGTATCAGCAGTACCAGCAGTACCAACAGTACCAGCAGTACCAACAGTACCAACAGTACCGGCAGTACCAGCAGTACCAACAGTACCAACAGTACCAGCAGTACCAACAGTACCAGCAGTACCAACAGTACCAGCAGTACCCGCCGTTTTTGTTGCTTTGGTCGCGATTCCCAGGCAGAAAGAGATTTCCTGGACTGGGAGGGGGGAAGAACTGCTTGTGGCAGCAGTGTCGGCAGCACCATCAGCAGCAGTATCAGCATCACCAGCAGCACCAGCACCACCAGCACCAGCAGACCAAGAAACGATGCCTGGTGCTGCAGGGCTGCGCCTGGGGGAGGCGTTACCTGCAGGGCTGAGTCTGGGAGAGGCGTTACCTGCAGGGCTGCGTCTGGGGGAGGCGTTACCTCGTTGGATGGTAGTGGCCCTGGGGATGCGTCCTGTCCCTGCTGCTCCTGCACTAGCCGAAGCTAAGTCACTGGAAGCAGCAGCAGCAGGGCCAGCAGCAGCAGCTGGAGGAAACAGGGCAGCAGGGGCAGTGTGGCTGCTGATGGTGCTGCTGGTACTGTGATTGCTGCTGCTGCTGCTGAACCCACTAAACGTGTTGCTGCCAGGGCTGCTGCTGCTGAGACTACCGAACGTGGCACTATAGCCGCCTCCATCCAGCGACCCCTGGAAATCAAACTCCTCTGGTTCCTCTGCTGCGCCTTCTGATGATGGGGTCTTGGTGCCCTCTGCGCCCTCTGCGCCTCTGGCCCCTCTGCAGATGCGGCTGCTGCTGCTAGGCCTACCGAACGCGGCACTGTAGCCGCCTCCATCCAGCGACCTCTGGAAACCAAACTCCTCTGGCTCCTCTGCTGCGCCTTCTGACGTTGGGGCCTCTGCGCCCTCTGCCCCTCTGGCCCCTCTGCGAATGCGGCTGCTGCTGCTAGGCCTACCGAACGTGGCACTATAGCCGCCTCCATCCAGCGACCCCTGGAAACCAAACTCCTCTGGCCCCTCTGCGTCTTCCTGCCCCTCTGCATCTAGCTCCAGCCCCGCTCCCAGCCCCACCAACCCTAATCGCAACAATGATCCGGGCAGCGTGTTCTGCAGATCCTGGCTCTGCTGCCCTGGGGCATGGCGAGGGGGTCCGTCGGCCCTATGGGGAAACTCAGACGACACTTGATGAAGGGGTTCGTCTGTCGGTAGGGATGGTGGTGCTGGTGATGCAAGGGGGCACCGGGCTGGGAAGGGTCAAGGCGGGGCGGAGGGGCATGGGGATGGGGGCATACTTGTCCTTCGGCCTGTTCGTCCCTCCCTCTTTCACCACCCCTCTCGTCCAAACCTGTCTCATCGACCGCCCCCAAGCCTGCCCCCGAGCCTGCTTCCAAGCCTGCGAGCTGCTGCTGCTGCTGCTGCTTCTCTGCAAGCCGTTTCCTCTTGAGCTCCTCAAAGAACCCTGAGAACCCCTTGGGCGTGCGCTGCTCTTCCGCTTCCACTCTCTCCACCTCTCTCACCCCCACTCCTCTCTCCCTCACTCCATTCTCGTACTCTCCCCCTTCCCCCCCCTCTCTCTCCATCTGTCCACGCTCCCCTCTCTCCCCCATTCCATTCGTATCATCTTCCCCTTCCACCTCCCCTCTCTCCGCATCTCTCGCTTCCACCTGCCCGTTCTGCCCCTCCTCCTGCCCCGCAAGGGCTGATTTTCTAGTCAGGGTGAAATGCCTGGCTGTTCCAGGGGAGCACAGAAGCTGAGGAGGCGACCTTTCGGTGAGCTCAAGGGCCAAGCGCCTTTCAGAGCCAGGGGAGCGCAACAGGCGAGGAGGCGACCTTTGGGTCGGCTGAAGGGTCAAGCGGGTTACCGACCCAGGGGAGCGCAGCAGAGGGTAGTTCCGAGGCTTGGGGGACTCTGGAGAGGAGGAGGGGTTAATCAAGGGTCGGATCTTGGGAGAGGAGCGGATAGAGAGACGCGCTGGTGAGATGCTTGGCTGCTGCTGCTGCTGCTGCTGCTGCTGCTCACGCCTCTCGCTCCTCTCTCTTCCCCCTTCCTCCGGCTCCTCCTGCTGCACCTTCTCCTTCTCCCCCTTCTGCTCCTCCCCTTCTTTTTCCTCCTGCCCGCCCTCCTTTTTCTGCCCCACTTTATCCTGCCCTTCCTGCCACAAACTAAACGAGTACGCGTTGTTAGAAGTACCCGAGCCTTTCGGTCGACTCAAAAGCCCCTCCTCCTCCTGCTCCTCCCTCTCCTGCCCCTCCTCCTCGTGCCCTTCTTGCCACAGACTAAAAGAATATACGTTGGCGAAAGTACCCGAGCCTAGCGACCGTAGCAAGGGGGACGTGCGAGGCTTGCCCTGACTTGAGCCTGGGTGGGAGCGCGGGCAGGGGAGGCCAGGGGAGGCGGATTCGGGGGAGGGGCATCTGGGGGAAGAGTGGGGCGTCCGGGGAAGGGCGGAGGGGGAGGCGCGGGGAAGGGCGGAAGGGGAAGCGAGGGGAACGGTGCCAGGTCGTCGGAGTAAGGAGGAGGCTTTAAGGGTGGAAGAGAGGGGCGGGATTGAGGGGGAGGACGAGGGGCTGAGAGGGGTAGGGGAAGAGGGAGGGAGTGAGGCGCGGGGTGATAGAGTGGGTGATAGAGTGGGTGAGAGAGTGGGTGAGAGAGTCGGCGAGGGAGTGTGCGAGAGAGTGTGGGAGAGAGGGGGGGCGGGGTTGAGGAGTAGTGGGGAAGGAGAAGCGGCAGAAGCGGAAGTATCAGCAGAGGCAGCAGCGGCTACAGTTGCTATCCGCTGTAGAGTCCCACTCAGTGACTTACAATGAGTACGAGGCTGCCCCTGCGCCTGCTGCCCCTGCGCCTGCTGCCCCTGCGCCTGCTGCCCCTGCTGCGCCTGCTGCCCCTGCTGCCCTGCTGCCCCTGCTGCCCCTGCTGCCCCTGCTGCCCCTGCTGCCCCTGCGTCTGCTGACCCCCCGCCTGCTGTTCCCCCCCCTGCCGCGCCCCCACCTGCTGCTCCTTCTCGCGCTGTTTCGCAGCTCTGAGCCTCTCGAAGTGCTTAGTGAAGCCACGCATTCCCTCACTGCCGCCTCTGCCGACGTTGCCACTGCCACCACTGCCACTGCCGCCACCGTCACTGCCATTGCCGCCACTGCCGCCACTGCTTCCACTGCCACCACTGGCTGCACTGCCGCGGCCACGTCCGTTCTTAAAGCCCATTTCGCTGCCGTGGCCGACAATCCCTGGGGCAGTTTGTCTGACACCGACCCCCCAATTGCCGCCGCTGCTACCCTCACCATCACCATCACCATCACCATCACCATCACCATCACCAGCATCCCTCCCCTCGGTTCGGCTGCGAGTGAATCTAGGCACCTCCTCCAACCCCCCCTGCTCGTCTCTCCCCTCCAGTGCATATCCTCCCAACCCCCTCTGCTCCTCCCTCCGATCCACTGCACACCATTCCAACCCCTGAGTTCGGCTGCGAGTAAGTCTCGGCACCTCTCCCAGCCCTCCCTGCTCGACCCTCCGATCCACTGCATACCCTCCCAGCCCTCCCAGCCCTCCCAGCCCTCCCAGCCCTCCCTCCTCATCCCTCCGCTCCACCGCATACTCCCGTCCATCGCCCACCCCCCTCCTCTCCTCAAAACTTTCGGTGAAATGCATTCCATCCACGGCTGGCCCGCTACAAGCTGACTCGATAAAGGCCGGCCCCGTCTCATCGCGCGGGAGGCGCACCCCGCGTGCGCGAGGGAGGCTGTTCATTCGGAACGGCTGCTTCTGGAAGCTCCCCGGGTCCGCGCCTGGGGGAGTCTGGTTGCTCCCCGCATCAGCGCAAAACGGGGGATCCCCCATGTTTAAGCCTGGTGCGCGCTCCCTAGCGCATCACCCCCACTGCGATTGACGCAAGCGACTGTTGCGCCGCCCCATGCAGCATCCCCGCTGTTCCCGCCGCCAAAACCGCCATAACCGACACCGCTGCTGTTGACATGACAAGCGCCGCCGATTATACCGCCACCGTTGCCGCCGCTACAGCCGCCGCCACTACCACTGCCGCCAAATCCGCCGTCACCGCCGCTGCGGGCCCATTGGATGGAATAGTCCGGTATCCCGGTGCTACTGGCGCTGCGAGTTAAGGACGCCCCCATAGTACTACCACCTCCAGCGCCGCCTAGACCGGCTCGCCCTTCGTGGTAGACGCAAGGTCGATCGCCGAGCGGCCCGCCGCTTCTTCCATTGATATAGTCACCATTCCCGGCGGGGGTTTCGAGCCAGCTTAAGCACCGCGGGTCGGTCAGAGTCCTCTCAAGCGGCATCGTCGGCGGCTGGGAGGACCAATCTGCGCCGTCTGATCTGAACCCACTCGACCACCCTGCACCGTCCATTCTGGACCCGCTCCACTTCGCCACACCGCCCGATCTGGATCCGATCAACCACGCTGCACCGTCCATTCTGGAACCACCGGCGGCGCTGAAATACGCGGGTGATGAGTCGGACAGCTGTCGCTGGGAGGAAACGACGCCGTCGGAAGAAAACGCGGAAGGGGGAATGGGCATGGAATCGGCCAACGGTCGACCGTCGGATCTCCTTTCTCCGGAACGCGATGGACGGTGCGGTGCTCGCGCCGATTCGCGATAGATATCAGGCGAGTTTGCATTGCAAGCCTCAAAAGAGTACCGCCTCGGGTCAGAGTAGTAAGCAGCAGACTGCTGAATCTCCGGAGACGTGCATATTATGTCATGTAACTGGGTAGGGGAGGAGTACATCTGATCGCCATATGCAGTAGGCCGCGACCTATCGGGTGGCGAAGCTGTGTGCGTAGGAGTCGTGCGTATCTGGGTCGAGGAGGAGTACATCTGATCGCAATATCCGGTAGGCCGTGACCTACCCAGTAAGCTCGAGTCACCGTAACGCTGATACGCGTTATAAGCCGAAGCGGAAGGCCCGTAATCTTGACAAATAAGGTGCTCTGGATGAAAGTCGCTCGGTCCTTGAGTCTGTCTGTAGGTGTCCTGACGTTCTTGTACAGCCATGTGACTGTAAGGAAGGTCATCAGGAGACACACTGAAAGGGAATGGCCTGATGTCGTGAGATGGACTGGAAGGGGATTGGCTGGCGTGGTAACCACTGGCGTGGTAACCACTGGCATGGTAACCACTGGCGTGGTAACCACGACGGTCGCCGGAAGAAGCGGGGGGATCCATGACGCGACGAGCGAAGCTGCTTCGTTTGACGAATAACCATATATCTTCCTCACCGGAATTACTGTTACAATGCTGATATGCTAAGAATAACTAGGAGCCATGCTGTTGTTGCTGGAACCTGGTAATTCGAGCATGAAATCGAGGCGGGGATTTAGACAAAGAAAGGCAGAACAAAGAAGCACGGCGCGTGAAGTCGAAATTGTGATGAAAGATTCACCGTTCAGGAACGGGTAATTCAAGAAAGACTCTGACATGCTCAGATTGTGACATGCTCGGACTCAGTCTACAATGCCACAGGTGCAGCCGCGAAGCCTCCATTTGAGACAGACCCATACGCAATGCTAAGCTGGCTCCAAGACGAAATTCTTCAGTCAGACCGTGTGCTTGAATTTCCGAAGGGAGAGGCCATGGCGTAAAGCCATGGCTGAGGGGTTACGAGGATGAGAGGGAGGCGAGGACAGGCGTGAATGGACATGGGAATGGAATGGAGTCAATGGCAGTAGGCCGTGCTGAGCTGAGCTGTGATCATTCCTGCTGGATGGGAATGCCAGCCATAGGGGATCCGCGTTGGCACGAGATCCTCCGTTCCGCGAACAGCGGTGCAAGGGATGCTCGAATGGCAGCGCAGAACGAGCTTCGTGAGTTTCGTCAACTCTTTTCCCTCAGTTCTCGTTATCCAATCGCAATCGGTCTCTTCGCGAAACCTGAAACCACGTTCGTTCGCACACCAACCCAGAGATTTTCACAATGGACTGCACAGAACACTGGGGGAGGGCAGGAACGAGAACGGTTATTGGTCAACCACTTTCACTTGCCTTTGTCGTGGGGAGGTTGGTAAAGTGCCGGGGGGCAGCCTGAGGAGATGAAGTACAGTACAGTATCTGACATCGCAAGTGCCATCATTTCACGCGCTTCAGGATTGCATGGCTGTAGCAAGGCCTATTTTTAAAGGGTTGTTGCCCTGAATTCGAGTCAAATAAAGGGTAGTTGTTTAGCTGACCCCATAAATCAAGGGTTGGTTTCTTATGAACCCGATGGATTAAGGGTTTATGCCGAGTGTAACCCTGGAGATTAAGAGTATATTATTTTCCTACCCTGAGTGTACTACTGGTGCTGGTAGGGCTACAGGAGGGATCTCCTTAGGAGGAACAACTCCCTTAGAAGATTTTCGTTGTTCTCCCCTCACAGCACGTACTCACACCAACTGACAAACAGAGGGGAGAAAACTCCCATGGAAGATTTTTGTCCTTCTCCCCTCACAGCACGTTACTCACACCTCGTAGTCACCAATAGAGGGGAAACATCTCCCTTAGTAGATTTTCGGTAAATTTTCATTCTTCCCTCACAGCACGTTACTCACACCTTGTAGACTCGTAGTCACCACCAGAGGGGAGACAACTCCCTTGTTATATTTTCGTTCTTCTCCCCTCACAGCACATTACTCATACCTCATAGACACCACCAGAGGGGAGACAACTCCCTTATTCTATTTTCGTTCTTCTCCCCTCACAGCACGTTACTCACACCTCGTAGTCACCAACAGAGGGGAGACAACTCCCTTAGTCGATTTTTGTTCTTCTCCCCTCACAGCACATTACTCACACCTCGTTGTCACAAACAGAGGGGAGACAACTCACTCAAGTAGATTTCATCATTCTCCCCTCACAGCCCCGTGCACATTACCCACGCCCTTTTCGTCTTGTCCATACATCTCCTGGTAGATTCTAACCATGGCAGTGAAAAGGGTGTACGAACGAACCCTAATGATTAAAGGTTGCCTTCTGCTGGACCCTGAAAATTAAGGGTAAAATTTCAAGAAGCCTGATTCTTTTAGGATGACTAAAAACCAAAAGTAAGCCTTGGGCTGTAGTAGCCACAGCCATAGAAAGGCATCCCCTTGGGTTTGCCTTTTGACAAGCCAAGCCATCCCCCTAGGTTTGCCTCATTTGATTGAGGTCGCGTTCCTGAAATAACTGTCTCTGCTCTGGCCTTGCAGGACCACACCTCCCGAAAGATCAATAGCCGAACCTCGCAGACGACCGCAATTTATCCTATGTAGACTTGCTAAATCCTCCTCAAACAATTTCCACCGCATCAAATTGAACCATTGGAGGTTTTATCCTGTCGAACCAGACAAGCGTGTTCCCCTCCCAAGAGAATTCAACAAAACCTCCACACACTAGCATGATCAGCAAAAGAGAAAGTATATCCGCGATCAGTATTAGGGTTCCCGCTATCACGTACGGTCAGTGGAACACTCTCAACCATCAGAATTAGTGAGTTTGTCACACGGCTAGTCAGTCGGGTTCCACGGTTAGTCAGTGACTGCCAGTAAACATTTCTACGAATTGTCAGTGGACATAACCCCCGCCCATTTTGGGCGGAATTCCCGCTCGCGGCATCCCAAACAACTGTAATAATTGGGGGGGGGGGGGCGAGATTTTTTTCGTGCCAGCGTGGCGCCACACATTTCGCCCTCACTCCAACCCTCGGTACTGTACATTTCGCCCTCGCTCCAACGCTTGGCACTGTACATTTCGCCCTCACTCCAATGCTTGGTGCTCTACATTTCGCCCTCACTCCAATGCTTGGTGCTGTACATTTCGCCCTCACTCCAATTGGACAATGGAACGAAGCGGACGGAAAACATAACACACGTACATTTACTAATCAACATCACAAGTCAGCGCCACTTCGCATTATGCTCGCACAATAGTGCCGGATTCTAAAACTCCACTGTGCCCAGTTAATGCGGTTCGGATTGGTACTGGTCTCAGAGTAAAAAGTTGTATAGAATGGGCCATACATGTTGATCTTGTTCGAGTGGTTGTACCCTCTAAGAGCATGCACCTATCTAGCCTATTATACCATATACAATTATGTTTGACACACCCCCTAGGCCTGATGAGGGGCAGTGCCTGGAAGTCGACACACAGCTCAGGGTGGCACTACTAGTCTAGCCTCTGAGGCAAGGGTCCGAAGACCAGTCAGCAAGAGTACAAACAAGACAAGAGGAAACCAGGGCAGCACTACTAGTCCGACCAGGGGAAGAGAAGCCACAAGGCCAGTCAAAAAGGTATATATAGAAAGAAGTACACAATCAAGGTCCTAGCAAGTGAATAGCTACAGTAACTAGACCAAGCTGCAAACAGTGCCACTGATAATATTTAGGCGCAAGTGCCTTAGTAAAGATATCAACTATATGGGAACCGGAGGCCAAGTGTACTACGCGGGCCTGGCGACGCTGCTGTAGCTCGCGGAGGAGGAAGTACCGCAGCTGGATGTGCTTCGCTCTGCCCTCCAGTCGAGGCTCCTGACGCAGGAGGGTCATGGCCCTGTTGTCAGCGTACAGGGCCGGGGCAGAGCTAGGCCACTCACCTAAGTCTGTGAGCAAGAAAGTCAGCCAGCGGAGCTCTTGTGCCCCCATGGCACCGGTGTAGATCTCATCCTCACAGCTAGACTGGGCAACAGACGACGAGCTGGTGGACCTCCACAAGACACCACCTGCACCAAGGCTAAAGCAGTAGCCCTGGGAGGACCTGAGAGTTTCGGCGTCGTCCGCCCAAGAAGCGTCTGTGTGCCCAGTAAGGACCACTGGCCTGCGTCCTCCTAACACTAGCCACATGTCCGATGTACTTGTTAGATAACGCAAAGCCCTCTTAGCTGCAGACTAGTGCCGTGGTCGGTGTCTGCCAGAGGCCACAAAGCGAGCCAGTATGCTGAGAGGGTATGCGAGATCTGGACGAATGCAAGTCATCAGGTACATGAGGCAACCCACCAGCTCTGCGTAAGGACCACTAGGCTCTACAGCCAACTCCGGGAGTGAAGCAGAGAGTCAGTGGTCTACTAGCAGAGGGGTGGGCTGTACGGAAGAGAGTCTGTGACTATGTGAGAGTGATGGTGCACGCGGCTCTGTCCCTTGAGTTCTACAAGCCAAGGTAGCGACACAACTAACCTAGGTCAGTGCAGGTATGTCTGCTCAGTAGCTCGGGCTTTACGGAGGCCAGTGCGTCTCTGTCAGCAGTAGCAAAGAGCAGGTCGTCTATGTAGACAAGGATGTAGACCGGAGTCTGGCCAGCACGAACGAAGAGCGAGGGGTCTGCAGAGGACGGAAAGAACCGCATGTCAGCTAGCTTAGCACGCAACGTGTCATGCCACTCACGGGGCGCCTGTCGCAGGCCGTAGGCAGGGTGACGGAGGAGCCATTGTGTCCCAGGAGGGAAAGTATAGGTGAAGCCCTGAGGACGGCACAGGTAGACCTGCTCGTGTAGGCTGCCCTGAAGAAAAGCTGTGGAGAAGTCAAGGGAGTGGAGCTCGTAGTCAAGCTGTGCTGCTACGTGTAGCAGCACCCGAAAACTAGTCATCTTCGGGGTCGGGGCAAAGGTCTAAAAGAAGTCCACCCCCTCGCGCTGACTGAAGCCTCTAGCCACGTAGTGCGCCTTGAATACAGGCGGCTCTCCAGGGGGGCGCTTCACCTTGAAGAGCCACCGGCCATCGACTACGTTCACCCTAGGTGGGGGAACTGCGTCGACGTAGGTGCTGGGTGATCTTCAAGATGCCATCTCCTGCTCCATGGCAGCTATCTAATGAGAGGCCCAAGGTCCCAAGGTCGCCTTAGCGTAAGTGCGAGGGGTCGGGATGTCAAGGGCGTATGAGTCACCCTCAGGAACTAGGAGCATGGAACAGAGATGGGGAGCAGCCTCGGATAGGAAAGCAAGCTCGTACTGCCAGTCCTCTAGGACGTTACTGCCAAGGGCTAGAGCACCCTCGATGGACGGAGAACGGATAGGGTCAGAGACCAGAGCGGTGGCGTAGTCAAGGCGGCGGGTAGAGGCAAAGTCAGCGACAGCAGCGACAAGAGCGTCAAGACTCGAGACTGGAACAGACGAGTCGGTAACGAGGGAGGCAAGGACCCGAGGAACAAGAGGACAAGTGGCACGAAAGTAGTCAGACAGAGGGAGAGGCATGACAGCGAGCGACGACGGAGGAGGAGACGGTAGGATGGGAGGATTAGACGCGTAGGAGGCGTCGAAGGAGGCGAAGGCGAGCAGTCAGGGAAGGGAAGGCCGAGTAGGCGAAGGGTAGACACCGGCGGCGACTGCTGCTGTTGCTGCTCGACGCCGACACCAGGACCGCCAGCTGCACCACGGCTACCTTCGGAACACTCCACTCCAGCACCCCCATAGCGAGAACCCTCTCCAGCACCGATGCCACCCCCGAGCCCACCGGGACAAGCCATGACAGGAACCCCAAGACAAGCACCCTCCTCAACGCCAGCACCCCAAGAGTCCACGAATGGCTGCTGCTGCTGCTGTGACGGCAGCAGCTGCTGTGGCGGAGGTGACCGCTGTGGCGTCGGCAACTGCGGCTGCGACGACGGCTGCGGCGGCGACTGTGACGACTGAGGACGGGACACCGGGGGAGAGGCAGGCAGCGCGAACTGCACCGCAAG